GTGCTGACCAAGCACCCCATTCGTGGGCATGACGGCGACCACAGACCTCGGCCTGTATCGCAGTCCACTAGAGGCGTTGCCTTTCAAAATTTTGGCCGCCGCCTCGAGGGGAACGATGCAGCGCTGTCGAATCTTACTGCTTGATCGGGGGCACGATCGAGGCTGATAGAAGCCGGGCAGAGCGTTAATTGAAATCCGTCAGATGTTGTGATGGGGTGCGCTTGAGGCCGAGTAAAGATTGCCTCAAGCTCGAGTCCATTCGAGGCCAAGGAGCGATGGCGCCACATTGACTCCTGGTCAGCTGCTACGCGCGAATCGTCGTCTAAGAATTGCGGTAGGACGGCTCTGAGGTGTGTCAAAAGATGACTCAGCCTGAAAAATGAATCGACATCCTCGGACCTACTTCGGTGTTGTTGCACTCCCGTGTGACATCCTTCCTACAGCGGCTGGGAGCGGGCTGTTGCGCACCAAGATTTGTCGTACCGGTAATTTGCCTGGCTTCATGTTTCTCGTCAGGATAGCGCGAATGCAATCCATTCGAACTGCTAGGTGGGCTTGGAGAGCAGATTTGGAAGAGTGCATCGCTCCAGACCCCTCTTTTCCCCGGTTCTCGGGAGGTCAAGATGAACTCGCCACGGGCGAGCTCCCTACTGAGATCACATCGGAGAACCTGCGCGCGTGGCCTCTTGCCGCAGATCATGCTTGGCTCTATCGTATGCATAGTCTTGGCACAAGACCTCTCCCAGGTGACGCTCCTTGCCCCGAGCAGGACATCCCTGAATGACGAAAATGGTCTGAATTCTCGACTGCGAGTTCGTCGAGAGTCCTTTGCTTCGACTTGAGCCCTTCATCCCAAAAGACTTGAGAGCGGAGCTCAGATTTGAAAGGTATCGAGAAACTTCCATGGGTGCGCATGTGTCCAGACTGCTGGAGAGTCCGACGGCTATGAAAGCGCGAGCTGTCGAGAGCAGGTGACAGGCTTTCTTTGAGATTGCGTCTGGCTATACACGCCCAAAGAATTGGGCCCCTCTCTATCACAAAGCCTCGCACCCTCCCGCGCTTCGAATGCACCACAACTCACCGGCAAGAAGGCGTGCGTAAGACGAAGTCGCGGGTTGGAGGTTCTTGCCCTGCCCCGGACT